TTGCATTCCTAAGGTATTAAGCTGAGCGGGAAGGTTCTTTCTTTAGGAAGAAGGGCACATAGCCAATCCTACATTGATTCAATCAGTCACAGGGCTAAAGCGACTGGCATTGTGCCCTGAGAGACAGGCAGGGAGGCTTCACAGGCTACATACGTGACCCAAGCCCATTGGGTTGCTCACAGTTTGGGGCGGGGGTTGTCTAATTTTTCTTCTCCGTCTAATTCTCAGCCGGCATGTGCAGTCATTGCCATGGTTACCTCTGGTCTACACTGTGGCCTGACTCAGTCCCTGTGTGTGTGTGTGTGTGTGTGTGTGTGTGTGTGTGCATGCTTCCCCCCCCGTCCCATATTTACCTGCTTTACAAAAGAAGGAGGGGATTGTTTTTAGAAGAGAAGATGTGTCTTTCTCCCTTCAAAGACCTATTTGAGAAGACACACAGTGCAGAAGATTTTGTAATCTCTGCCTGAATCCAGCAGAAAGCCTCCACCACTACATTTGTTTGACTTGACAGGAGGTAACGTCAAGCTACGTCAGGAGTCGGTGTATCTGACTCTTGGGAAGCTTCCGCCATGTTTTGTTCGCATGACGGAGTTTTTTCTTAGAATGCGGCATTCCTTTTGGACTGTAGCTCGGATTAGAAAGAAGACTAGGCCCCAGAACAGGCGAGGGCTGGAGGGTTCCTCCAGCTAAAGGATTGTCCCCCGGGGGATGAGAGAGCTGTCCCCTGGAGTCTCTCTGAGGGACTGCTGGTGGCAGCTCATTAGGTGCTGGTGCTGGCCAAAGCTCTACCAAGACTGTCCGGGGGCTCAAGTTTGAAGCAGACCTGGAAAAGGATGACCCCTGCAAAAGTTACTTTCAGAATAAGCGTAAGCAAACCTAGATAAGAAAGAAGTAGCCCAGGGAATGGAGCAATCTTTGAATAAATATGTAACTAAATTCTGGCAGGGTCCAGATCTGTGATTTCCCTGGTGAGGGAAATCCCTCCAAAGACACAGGGTAGCGACTCATCCGTAAGGTAATGATTAGAGAACTAGATGCCTGAGACATTGAGAGATTCTGTGACTTACATAGGGTTATACAGCTACTATAAGTCAGGGGCAGGCCTTGTGACCAGCTCTTCTGGATTCCAAATACAGCTCTCTAGCCACTATGCCACACTGCCACTCTTACAAAAATAAGGATGAAAAGATGAAAATGAAAAAAAATTTCATGTAAATATTAGAAAGAGTAGCAATGTTTTATCAGTCACATGAGGTGGGCAGAAAAAGAGGAAAGGGAAGGTCGGGGTTGGCACTAGTTTTCTGGATATTTATATGGGAAGGCTGGGCTCATTGACGTTGAATTTAGAAATTCTAATTTCCATTTGTATGAAACACAAATTAGATTATTAGATTGTTAGATTAACAATTAGATTGTTAATTAGATTGTTGTTCAGTTGTTTTCCAATTGTGTCTGACTCTTCATGGCCCCATTTAGGGTTTTCCTGGCAGAGATACTGGAGTGGTTTGCCATCCCCTTCTCCAGTTCATTTTACAGATTAGGAAACTGAGGCAAACGGGATGAAATGATTTGCCCAGGGTCACACATCTAGAAAGGGTCTAAGGCAGGATTTGAACTCAGTAAATCACATCTTCCTGGCTGTGGACCAGGTGCAGGCCACTGCACCACCTAGCTGCCCTTCACCTATAGTAGAGTGTGACAAACCTGGGGCCCAGGGTGGTCTCCAAACAGAAGGCTCTCTAAATGGGCTCCAATTGCTGCTGTTCTTAAGAGCTTGTACTACCACCATCTACAAGGGCTTCTTGTCTAAAGACTCCAGAATCCATACCATTTTCTTACTTGTTCTTCCTAAGGAATTCCTCTTTCCTATCCCAACCCATGTGATCAGCTACTTTGTAGTGCAGGATTATTAGATGACAGTTGAGGCAACTGAATACTGTGGAAAGAATGCTGTGGAATGAGAGGATCTGGGTTTGAATCTTCCCATTTCCCTTTTGGGATAGTTCATCTCATTTCAAGCACCAGACCCGGGGGAGCTCTCTCAGTCTCTCAGCTCCCTTAACTGAGTTTCTAGAGAAGTCAGGTCTTTTCTGCATCTAAGCCCTGGCATTGACACCACAGTGGCTCTCCCTCCAGCCCCCCATCCAATATCGGAACCTGGATTCTGATCATAGAGTCATAAATCAATCTAGGGCTGGCAGGGACCTCAGAGGGCGTTAGGTCAATCTCTGGTTTTTGCAGAAGAGAAAACTGACTTGTCCAACATGGCACAGGTCATAAGCATCAGAGGAAGGATTGGAACCCAGGTCCCCTGACTACAGAGCTAGGGGTTATTCCACCATATCTACCTCACGCAGCCTCCCCTTCTCTCAGAAATCCCCTGAACAAGCTTCTCCTTTTTGCTTACTGACTATCCAGACCTCACTCAGGCTTCCTGAGCTGAGCTGGCTCTCAAAATTTCTTCAGCCTCCTGTCTACTGCAAGTCCAGGCTCCAAGGTAGGAATCCAATCTTCTCCAAGCAGTTTCAAATCTCTACTTTCTTTTCTCTTTTTCTCTTTCTTTCTTTCTCTGTTTATTTTTTTCTTTCTTGGCAATTGGGGTTAAGTGACTTGCCAAGGGTCACACAGCTAGTAAGTGTCCATGTCAGGTGTCTGGTCTGAGACCTGATTTGAACTCAGGTCCTCCTGCCTCCAGGACTCTATCCATTATGCCACCTAGCTGCCCCTGAGCTCTACCTTCTTAATATCACCAAGCCTTCCCTTTCTTGAGCATTCCCCTTTATACATTCCAAGCTGACAACTCAATTCAATTAAATTGAATTCAACTCAACTCAACTCATTTCAACTTAATTCAGTTCAACTCAACTCAGCTCAGTTCAACTCAACTCAATTCAACTTAATTCAATTCCATTCAACTCAGTTCAACTAAGTTCGGTTAAATTCAACTCAGTCAAACTCAATTCAGTTCAATAAGAATGACAACAAAGGGCGCAGCTAGATGGCACAGTGGATAGAGCACCAGTCCTGGATTCAGGAGGACCTGAGTTCAAATCCAGCCTCAGACACATAACACTTACTAGCTGTGTGACCCTGGGCAAGTCACTTAACCCCATTGCCTAACCCCGCCCCCAAAAAGAATGCCAACAAAACCCATTATATGCTGGTTACTCTATTCTAGTCAGTCGGGGTACAAAGATGAAATTAAGTCAAACTGCCCCTTCTACTGAGATGTTTACATTCTATTAGGTACTTATCTTTGGCTGAAAACTCCCCAAAATCAGCATCTAAAATCTTAATGACTGACATTAGCCAGGCTGGCAAAACCCCCCAAGCTTTCACACAAGCATTAGGAGGTGGGGTAGGAATGCTGCCTAGATAATCCCCCGTGGAAAGACTTCTGGATTTGGAGTCGGAGGACCTGGCTTTGTAACCCAGCCCAGCCACTCATTACCTGTGACCTCAGACAAGTTATTAGCCTTTCTGGGCCTCAGTTTCCTGATTTGTAAGATGAGACAACTGGACTAGACGACCTTTAAGGTTCATTCCAGCTCTAAATCTGTGACCTTATGATTGAAAAAGCATTTTAATTTGCTGTATAAATGATGAAAAAAAGCAACATAACAAAGAGAGTGATTGAAGCAAAAGAGCCAGGAGGCACCGTGGAACAGTGCTGGACTCAGAGCCAGGGAGATCTGGGTTCAAATCCTGCCTCAGACCTTTACTAGCTGTGTGACCCTGGGCAACGTCTCTCTGCTTCGGCTTTCACATCCATAAAATGGAGATGGGGTAGATTTGATGACCTTTGAGGTCTAGGATGTGATGATAGTAATGATGACAATACTACTACTACTAATGTTAATAACAGATAGACAACGATAAGGATCATGGTTGGACCTGGAGGGGTGAGAATATATGCAGAAGTGGGTATGAGGATGGGGCTATGGGTATGTAATATTGCATATACTGATGAGGATGGGATCTAGACCCCAAAAAGGAAAAACCATGGACTTTCCCACATGGCCAAATCTCTGGCATTGTCCTGGGGCTTCTTTTGGGCAGGACCGGTGTGTCATGATTTTGGGATTCCAGGACCCCTAACCTCTAGACCTCATCAATACCATGCCTGGATGTCAGAAACAGTGAATGTGTTAGTTTCTTTCCTGTTTTTGTAATCTTTGTTAATGGAGGGATGGCTAGTTGGATAGGAAAGGGGGAAGGGATGTATTCAGAACTTAATATGATATTAAAAAAAGGGTGTCAATAAAAATGATGTAAAAAATGTCAAGCTTTGCCAGGTGGCGTATACGTCCATCATCTCATTTATCCCTCACAACTCAGTGAAGGAGGTATTATTATTATTATCTCTATTTTATAGAAGAGAAAACTGAAGTTCAGTGTCTTGGGTCATAGCTAAGAAGGAGTTGAGGTGGGATTTTAGAAGCCAGGTTTTCCAGACTCCAAGACCCAAACTCTAACCGTTGTAGAATACAATGACTATTATTGAATACTCAGCGTTATGCTACAAGGTCCAAGGGGACCTGATTTTTGGAGAGGAGATAAAGAGAAGCCACTTAAATGACTTCTTCCATGCTCCAGCGACACAATCCTCCTCCAAGCTCCCAGGCCCAGGACTGATTTATTTTGGTTTTTTACACGTCCTTCTTAGCCGCTTAGTTACTTGGTCCTGGGGCTCATATATTCATACTCTCTCACAGTGTCATTCTGGCCTGTTTTTTTTTGTGAAATCTGCCTGAGAAGAGAGCCCAGCTTGGGAAAGAAAGGTGAGCCCCCTCCCTCTCTTCCCCGACTCTTGTGAACTCTTAATTTCATGGTTTCTCTCCCCCAGGTCCATTCCTCGAGGAGCTGGGGATGTGCCCGGCTCCCTGTGGCTGTAGCCATAGAACATTGAGCCAACGGGTGGATGTGAGAGACTCAGGAAGCCGGGAAGGGTGGGGCAGGGCAGGGCAGGGCAGCTCTGCCTGGCTCAGCTCTGGGATTACCTTGGAAGCAGCCATCACTGCTGCTGTGGCCGCAACGTTCAGCCCCCGCTTCCCAAAGTGCACAAGGGCATCGTAGCTCCGGTCTTTGGCTTGGACCAGGCAGTCATCAATTTCCTGTCAAACAAAAAGCACGTTAAGCTGGGTCTTACATCCTTCCCCCTCCTCTTTACCCCCTCTTCTAGGGCTGTGCCCTGCAGCTTGGAGGGGAGTCCTGGCTGAGGTAGGGGAAATAAGGCTGGATCTGAAGCCAGATGGCCTGGCTCTGCTGCTCACTAGCTATCACCTACCTTCATGGGACCTGTTTCCTGCTCTATAAAACAGACTTGCAGTTTGATGTGCAATCACTCATCTTTTCTATCATGCCGTGTTATGGAAATGCTTGTCTTTTTCTATGCAGTAGATAGGATATTGGATTGAGAACGATCTAGTTCAAATCCATTATTTTATTTTCAAATATCAAATGAGATAATATCTATAAAACACTTAGCACAGTGCCTGGCACACAGTAGGCATTATATAAATGTTTATTTCCTATGAAATGGGTAAGTAACTGCACCTAGCTCCCAGGATTGGTGTGAGGATCAAATCACATAGTATTCGTAGTTCACTTTGCAGAACTTAAGGCCTTATATAAATCCTAGCTAAGTAGTACCCCTGGGTGTGACCAGGGCTACTCTGAGCTCCATTTGCTGCCCTTCATCTGACCACTAAGCTTTGGACGAGAACACCGGCAGCCTAGTCCTGACTCCCTGCCTGGGACTCCAGGCACAGAAGTTGCTAGATTTGCTTCAGCCCCCTCCAAGAAGCAGCAGAATACGGGGGAAAGACCACAGGGCCTGGAGTTTGCATCCCAGATTGGCAGCTCCCTTCCTGGGGGATCTTGGGTAAATGGTGCCCCTTTTCTGGGCTCCAGGCTCCTCCACCATCAAAGGACAGGACAGGGTCCACATAATCTCTAACGTTTTCTTCCAGCTCCTGTGATATTCGGAGTGTTTCTGGGAGAGGAAGTCTCAGGAAGAGGAGAAGGGTTTACCACCCACCCAGAACAAGAGTTGGTCTTCGGCTCCTAAAGTCCACCCACCCCAGGCCTAAGGGAGGGATTCTCAGAGAGAACCATAGCAGCCTCCTCATCCCATCAGTGTTTCCTATGATGCTCTTGCTCAGAAGAATACCACCTCTACATACATTCATTGTCTGCAACATGCCAGGCTTCACTGAGCGAGGTATTGGGGATACAAAGATGCCTGTCCTCAAGGAGTTTCCATTCTAGAACAGTTCTTAATCTGTAATCCCTAGACCCTGACAACGGACAGATCTCAGGGGGTCCAAGAACTTGGACAGGAAAAAAAGTTACATCTTGATTTTCATTAGCCTATAACTGAGATGCAGCATCTCCCTCAACTATGACTTCTTTAAAAATGATTCTGAGAAAGGGTCCTCAGCCTTCACCAGATTGCCAAAGGGTTCCATGACACCAGGAAGATAAAGAATCTTTGTTCTAGACACAGGCATCCTACAGAGGTAGCAGGTGTGTTTTTGTTAGCTCATTTTAGAGTTAAAGAATCTTCCTCTGCCTCCTCCTGTTGGTAACTAGCATTCATATAGTGCTCTAGGTTTGCAAATCTCTTCACAAATACCTCATTTGGTCCTCACAACAACTCCAGGAGGGAGATGCTATTGTTATCCTCATTTTTGAGATGAGGCGTCTTCCTTCCAAGCCAGCGCTGTACGTACTATGGCACCAATTAACAGCCTCACAATTGGAGGACCCAAGTTCAAATCTCACTTCTGATGTTTTCTACTTAAGTAACCATGGGCAAGTCTATTGACCTCCTTGAGCTTGTGACTTCATCTCTACACTGGAGGATGTGGACTAGATGCCCACCAAGGTCCTGTCTAGCTCAAAATCCAAGGCTGTTAGTTCAAAACAGGTCAGAAGAACCCCTAGACTGGGGAGGAGGGAGGCTAGGCAGAGCAAAAGGAGGGGAAGCCACTTGAGGGGGTGGGCTGGTGGTCAGAGAAGCTCACACAGGACCCTTCCATTGTGATATAAGCATTTCTCCAGTGCATCTAGTTCTCCTTTCCACCGGCCCATCCCTGTGACTCTTACAAGAAGGACAACCATAGGGTAGGAAGGGCGGAGGGGCACAATTACCTTTTCTTTTGATGACAGCGTAGGATGCACAAACTTTCTGTAGAGGAGGCTGGAGCCCTTTGTGTAAGGAGACAGCAACCAGGCCACGAAGGCTATTTTTAGTTCATAATAGAAGGGGAACCTGGAGGTGGTGAAGAAAACAGACATTCTATTAAGGGGCCGCCTCCAGCCTCTGCCATCCTGCCCCTCCCCCAGGGCAGGGGGTGCTCCCAGGCACAGGTCCCTCAGCTGGTGCCCAATGCAGACACAAGGACACTCTCCAGACTGCCTCTCCCCTTCTCCTGGCACCCCAGACTTCTCTTTTCCTTCAGATCCCTCGGAAATGCTTTGCAACCAAAACTCAAGCCATCTTCCTGCATGGTCATTCCCCCATTGCCTTCCCAGTAGCTCATATTTCCCAGGTGAAAAGCTAGCTCCAAACTACCTTCCCGGCCTGATTTCCATAACTTCCCCATCAGCTCCTCTATATGCCCATTAGAACTGGGCTAGTAGCTATTTCTGGGACACAATGTTCCATCCCCCACTTCCCCGCATTCACTTAAGCCTTTCCCCTATTCCCAGATCAAGACTGGTCTTCATCCTTTAAAAATCCATCTTCGATTCTCCCTTCCTCTGAATGCTGATCTTCCTTCAAGGACTGGCCACCTCCTCCAGGAAGCTTCCTTGATCCGCACCCTCCATGTGTTCTTGTTTTTATCCTCCTTTAACGACCTGGAGTTTCTGTTTTATCATCCCAATGGAATGGGAGTTTATCCTGGAAGATGGGCTTCTCCCCATTCTCATCCACCCTCCTCCGCTGCCGAAGTATGGGTCTGACCACGATCCCTACAGACCACAAACTGAGCCCAGCTCCTTCCATCTTGGTGAGCAGAGCAGGAAGGACCTTCTGGCCGCACTCCCCACTCCAGAGACCCCTCCACAAGAACATCCTGCGGGGCTCTCTGTAGAGTCTGTTCAGGGATGGTTCAAGGGTTCCCGGACTTCAAAGGTTCGAGGTGTCTCATCCAGTCAGTCAGCTCTTGGAATATCCCCAATCTCCTCTCCCCCTTCTTTGTGATCTAGGCACACAGAGACTTTGTCCTTTTGTGCCTTCCGGAGTCTCCACCATGTGGGTGGGGCTTCCTTGCTGGCAAACTCAAGGCCAGTTGGATACTCTGGGGTCTCCTTGCTCCTGCATCACCCACCCTCTCCTACTCAATAAACATCAATGGCTCCCTATTGCTCCCTGGGTAACCCTTCTATTCATCTTTTAAAGGTCTTCACAACCTGATTCTAGTTTACTTTCCAATCTCGTTATACATCATTCCCCTTCCTGCAGCCTGGCGGTACGGGGAGAGAGCTCTGGGCCCAGAGTCAGGACAACCAGAGTTTAAATCTGGTCTCCAGCACTAACTAGCTGTGTGACCCTGGGCAAGTCACTTCACTTTCATCTGCCTCAGTTTCCTCAGTTCTAAAATTATTGTCGTTTGGTTGTGTCTGACTCTGTGTGACTGCATGGACTTGGTCCATGGTTTTCTTGGCAAAGCTACTTGAGTGGTTTAACCCTTCCTTCTCCAGCATGTCCCTCTTTTACAGACGAAGAACTGAGGCAAATGACTTGCCCAAGGTCATGCAGCTAGCAAGTATCTGAAGCCAGGTTTTAACTCAGATCTTTCTGCTTCCAGACCTGATGTGCTAACCCCTGCACCACCTCGCTGCTCAATTCTAAAATGGAGACAATCATAGCTCCTACTTGTCAAGGCTGTTGTGAGATCAAATGAAAAAGTATTTGTAAAGCACATATCCCAGAGCCTGGCACCTAGAAGGTGCTTAATTAATGCTTATTTCCTTCCTTCCTCTACTCTACAGCCTGCCAGACCGCACTTCCCACACTGAACTGAGTTCCCACCTCCAGGCCTTTGCAATGGCCATCCCTCATGCCTGGAATGCACTCCCTCCTCACCTTGGTCTCACAGAATCCCCCATTTCCCTCAAGACTCAGCTCAAGCACCCCCTTCTCTCCAGACTTTGGGGATCCCCCAGCACTAGCACCCCCTCTCTCTCCACCTGCTTGAAGTGCTGCTTCCTCGTATTGATTTTGTGTTTATTCTATCCAGATTTATGTTGTGCACACTGGTACATGCACACGTTCTCCCCCACAGTATGTAAACTCCTCAAGAGCTCGCACTGGTTCACTCAGGGTGTGGAATCCTTCCCTCGCACCTGGGACGGGGTAACACAGGTAAAGTGCTCTCTAACCCCAAGAGTGCCAGGCAAGTGGCACTCACACAGAAGTTGTCATTCAGTTGTTTGAGGCACGTCTTACTCTTCTTGACCCCTTTTGGGGTTTTCTTGGCAGAGATACTGGAGTGGTTTGCCATTTCCTTCTCCAGCTCATTTTACAGATAAGGAAACTGAGGCAAACAGGATGAAGGGACTTGTCCAGGGTCACACAGCTAGTAAGTGTAATTCAGTAGGTGCTTAATAAATGCTTGTCAGGTGATTGAGCTTTGCTTTCATACTCCTAATGCCTTGTACACCGAGGGCACTTAATGAAGTTGAGGCAGCATGGAATAATGGAAAGACGGTTCCAATTCCAGGCCACTCACTACCTGTGTTAGCCTCTCTTGGCCTCAATTTCCTCATCTATGAAATGGAGGGTTAGTCTAGGCGGCTTCCAAGGTCCCTCCCAGCGCCAAAGCTATGACTGTGTGAATGCGACCCATCTTCACTTATCTGTGCTAGAGCCTACCACTCTCCACACTATTTGTTGTAGCCTGTAACCAGAAACCACACATCCATGCACATACAGACTCACACGCACACTCACATATACTACCACACGACACACATTCACAAATATACAAGACATACATGCAAACATACACAACACTTACACTCACACACATCCTTACACACATACACACCCACATACTCATAACACATACATACTTACACACAAATGTACACACTCATATACTCACAAACACACACTGATATACTACATGCACATATACCACATACAAAGACACTCACAAACACAACACAATGGAACACATACTACATACAAACACACCACATACATGCTCACATTATACACACAATAACACACACACACACACACAGACACACACACACACACACCCCCTTCTTTTCTCTCTCTCTCTCCAAGGTCACCAAGGTGAAAGCCCTAAGGCAGCCCTGCCAGAGATGAACTTCTGCCTTGGAAACAGAGCCCTCCTCCCCACAGTCTGCTCGTCTACCTGCCACAAACAGAGATGTCGAGGTCGGCAGATGCGAGCTCTGCACAAAACAGCTTGCCTCCCTGTACGCCTCCAGGCACTCGCAGGCCAGCTGTTCCAGATAACATCTTCCCAGTCTTTCTGCAAAGACCAGCCACGGGAGAGATGTGTGGGCAGACACAAGCCGACCTGAACAGTCACAGCCACAAAGGGTAGTTTCCAGGGACAAGGTGACAAAGAATCTAACCATTCCAAGGCCAGCACATCCCGCCGCCCTTAGGGCTGAGCTTATGCTGCCAAAGGCCTCTCCCCAAGCCTCCCCCCTCCAACAAACCAGGAAGCCAAGGATGGACTTACCTGTCCCTATTAACTCTCAGACACCCTCTCACAGAGAGCCAAATGAACACACAGAGCAGCTCCCCACTCCCTTTCCTAACAAGGTCAGATCTAGAACAATCCTTGGAGGTCAGTTAATTCTACCACCTCCATTCCCCCATTCTATAGATAAGAAAACTGAGGCCCAGAGAAATTCAATGATCCCCTGTCAGTGACAGAAAGGATTTGAACCCTGGCCTGCTTACTCTAAACCTGCTGCTCTCTCCAGAAAGACTACGAATCACTGCTCCGAATGCTTGGCTGGTTTTCAAAAATACTTTGAGATTCCACTGCCTCCTTACATTCTGACCAGGTTCCCCAAGCCCAGTGGTCCACACACTCACTCTGCCAGAACGAGGAAGCTTTATTTTTAATTATGAGACATTTCTAGTGCCACTAAGAGACAACAGATGTCAGCCCCCTAAAGGAGTTCTAGAAGAAATGCTGGATGGGCTAAGGAAAAACAGACACATTCCTACCCTGCTGGTGAAGCTGGAAATTGGTTCATCCATTCTGGAAAGCAATTTGGAATTATGAAGGAATGATGGAAATAAGCATTTATTAAGCACCTGCTATGTGCCAGGCACTGTGCTGAGTGCCTTACAAATATTATCTCATTTGGCCCTCGCGACAGCCTTGGAAGGTAGGTTGCTATTATGATCCCCATTTCAGAATTGAGGAAACAGATACACAGAAATCAAGTGACTCGTCCAGGAACACTCAGCTGGCGTTCGATTTAAACTTGAGTTTTCCCAGCTCCAGACTCAGCCCTCTATAGCCTGCTGCCTCTCCCTCAACAGTTACTAAACTATGCATGTAGTCTGACCTAGTGATACCCTGACAGCCAGACGTCCCAAAGAGATCAAAGGAAGAGGAAATGGGCCTATATGTACAAAAATATTTCTAGCAGCTCTTTCTGCAGCAGCAAAAAACAGGAAACTAAGGGAGTGCCCAGCAACGGGGAACGGCTGAACATTATGGTGTAGGAATATGAAGGCATATGACTGTGCTATAAGAAATGACACAAAGCAGAGAGAAGTGAGCAGAACCAGGAGAACAATGTCTATCATAACAACAACAGGGTAAAGACAAATAACTTTGAAAGCCTTAAGAACGCTGATCAGTGCAGTGACCTGCCCTGATTGCCAAAGACGAGAGAGGGAACCTGACCAAGAGGAGATGGTCTGGGGGGGTGGGGCACACTGAGACACAGGCTTTTTGGTCATGGCCAACGAAGGGATCTGTTTTGCCTGACTATGAATATTAGTTAAAAGGCTTTTTAAAAAATTATTTATTTTGTTTATTTTTTGTTTAATTATTTATTGCTTTATTGCGTATTTGTTACAAAGGTGTTTTTTTTTCCCCCAATGCGGGATAAGGGGAGCTGGGAGGACTAGAAAGTCAGACTTTGTTCACTGAAAAAGAAATTTAACTTAAAAAAGGGACATTTCTCCTGTTCCATCTCTCTCGCCTCAAGTGTTGTGAAGACTTCAGGCAGATCTGATTCTGTCCTGGTTTTCAGAGCTTAGGAAAATGCCAGTGTTTCCCCAGCCCACTCGGAAACTCAATCCAGCCCTCGGGTGGAGGCCTCAGATCTGGGCTCCACCAGCCTTCCGCGAGCCCCTGCAGACCCTCTGGGGGAACCCTAGGCTCAGAGCCCTGGAACTGACATAACCAAAGTAGCCAGGTTGAGCTTCCCGCATGGTTTGGCATATTTTCCCCAGCACTGAGTGGAGCGTGAGACATGGCGACTGGACCAGAAAGCATCACGGTGGTCCACAAACCCAGAAGTCCCCAGGCTGACCCCAGCTTACGCCCAGCCATCCTGAGAGTTGATGCTTTGCTGATAGACCCTGGAGAACAATTCAGACATGAAACTCGGCACAAGCCACCAGGCTGACTGCAGGAAATGCTCAGGATAAGGGAGAAGGGGTCTGCAGCCTCTTTATCCTTGACCTTTTCAGTAAACAATGGAGAGAGAGGGCTATATTTGGAACCAAAGGACCTGGCTTGAATCCTAGACCCACCATTTACTACCCAAGTGACCTTGAGCAAGTCACTTTCCCTTTATGGGCCTCAGTTTCCTCATCTGTAAAATGGGCAGGGGGATTCCAACTCAACCTATAAGTCTTTAAAAAATTTTTTTTTACCTGTAATTCTAATAAAGAGAAGAGGTAAGAAACTTAGCTTAGTCTTCTTGTATTTAAAATAGAGATAATGACATCGGATTTGTCATCTTTGAATATACAGAACCATAGGTTTAGAACTAGAAGGACCTTAGAGTTCACCCAGTCCAGTCGCCTTATTTTACAAATGAAGAAAGTGAGGCACAGAGGTGAAATAACTTAGCTCCTAGCAGTCCAAAGAACATTTCCCCTGTTCTTTGGGTCTCTGACTGCTTTGACATCAACTTTGATTTTCCTTTCTCCCTTTTACTAAGTTTTATGGATGCATGTTGTCTTTATAACTTGTAATTTCTAGAGAGAAAAACCCTTCTCCCCAACTCAAGATTAAATCCTTCCTTGCAATAAAAAGTAACAAACAAAGACATCCAATTCTCTGAGCACATCTGAAAATGTATGCAGCATTCTGTCCTGGTAGACCTCCCCCTTTCTGACACAGAGGAGACAGGGGCTGACATCTCTATGTCCCCAAGCAGGACTGCACCGTAAGGAAAAGAAGAACCTTGGCGGAAATTGACCATCTTGGAAACAATCGCAATTGTCTGAAGCCAGAACCAGCAACTTGAATTTCGCTGTTTCTCAGCCCAGAGCACCCGGGAAGGACTTCACACAGATGATGCTGGGTAAGAGATGACGTACTGTAATGCACAGTTGAGGGCATTGGACATGGACCCAAGAAGCTCTGAGTTCAAAGTCCACCTCAGACATGCACTACCTATATGAACTTGAGTCACATGGTCCAGGTCAAACTGGTGCCTCAGTTTCTCCCCCTGTAAAGTGATGGGATTAGACCAGATGGCTTCTGAGATCCTTTACATTTCTCAGTCCATAATCCTAAATTTGGTCCAATGTCCTCCTTTCCCCTCTCCCAAACTCCCCACCAGCATGATAAGTATTTGCTTCTGGCATTACCAAAAAAAATATTAGTAGTCACCCCACCCCCTTACTCACCAGCAAAGAAAGATATCCGTGAATGTCTCTGCTGTCGTAAAAAGTGCAAATATAATCCAGTACATCATCCATTTTACCTGTCGGGAGAGAAAACAACCAGCCTGATGAGAAGAGGGCGGAAGGGCTTGTCTGACCTCCCACGGCATCAGGACAGCCACAAGCTCAAGCAGTCTTCCAGGTTAAGATTGGCAATCCCTTCCCATCCCTCAGACTTCTCTCCAAAGGCACATCTTGTTCTGTCCCAGTTTTCACAGCCTGGAAAAAAAGCCCTTGTGTTTCCATAGTCTACTTAGAAACTTCAAGTGCAGCCCTCAGGTGGAGGCCAGGGAGAATCGAGGATCTAGGCCCTCAGGCCTGAGCCTGACCACTTTCCTAAATCCCCTGCAGACTCCCTGGAGGAACCTTAGGCCCAGAGTCCTGGAGCTACAGTCAAACTAACCAGGTTGAGCTGCTGACTGGTACATTGACCTCACTGCAGGGACCCTTGCGGGTGAATCTGGGATACTTCCCTTCTCTCAGACGCTCAACCTTGCTTCCCAATCTCTCTCACACCAAATCCCTTTTATTCATCTTCATAAATCAGCCCCTTAACTTTAGAGCAACTTTCTGCAAAGGAATTCCAAGATTTTCACTGCCTTAGAGGGGAAGGGTCCTGAAATATTGCAATAGACTCCTTACTGGTCTTCCTTCCTCCTGTCTCACCCCACTGTCCAGATACATCTTACAGATGGCTATTGATTGTAGAAAATGGAATCTGGAAGAAGATCTGAGTCTCCATATCACTTCTGATGTGATCACAGTTACATAATTTAACCTTTCAGAACCTCTTTCCTCATCTATAAGAAGAAGATATTACCTAGTAACATGTTACTCAAAAGAGTTACTGAATGGACCAACTGTTTTAAGCTCTCATGACCATGAGAAGCAACATGGTGTAGTAGACGGTACTTGGAGCCAGAAGGACCTGGGTTCAAATCCTACTGCTGCCACTTACTAAACCTATGCCTTAGTAGCTCTGTGATCCTAAGCAAGTCACTTAGCTCCTCTAGGCCTCAGTTTCCTCATCTGTAAAATGAGGGTAATAATAATTCCTGCCTCACAGGGTCATTGTGAGGAACAAGTGAATTAAAGTGTTTGCAAACCTGAAAGTGCTATATAAATGTTACCCAGTATTATAATTGCATCACTTCCCTCTTTGGAAATCTTCCATGATGTTAAGTAGTCTTTAGGATGAAATTTAAATGCCTTAGCTTGGCATTTGATGCCTTCCACGGTGCAGCCCCAGTCTATTTTTCTAGTTTTATCCCTTGTAGTGAGTTGGTATAACAGCTAGAGTGTCACTGTAGTCAAGAAGACCTGGGTTCAAATTCAGCATCAAACACTTACTAGCTGTATGACCCTGGACAAGTCACTTACCTTCTGTCTACCTCAGTTTCCTCATCTATAAAACGGGGATAATAAGAGCACCTACCTTGCAGGGCTGTTGTGTGCATCAAATGAGAGTATATTTGTAAATCTTAAAGCGCTAAATGAATGCTACTATTATCATCATTATTACTATTCCCTTAAGAAGTAGTATGTTATAGTGGATAAAGCTCTGGGCGTGGAGTCAGAAAAACCTGGATTCAAATCCTATCTCAGATACTTACAGGTTGTATGACTCTGCATAAGTCACTTAGCTATTCTGGGCCTCAGTTTCCTCATCCGTAAAGTCAGGGGTTTAGGACCTCTAAGGTCCTTTCCAGCTGTAAATGAGACATCAATATAGAAATTCTGTGTTCCATGAAGCCAGACTATTTCCTACTCCCTTCTTCATGACTCATTTCCTTGCCTCTGATCACGCCATCCCTCTCACCAGGGATGCCCCAATTTACATCGCCACTAATTAAAACCTATCCTTCAACATCCTACTTCAAAGTTAATTCCTTCACGAAGCCTCCCTGATAAACTAGAAGGGCCTTGTTTCTCTTTCAAATTCCAATGGCTCTTCACATGGTGGGAAGAGTGATTTGAAGAAACGGGCCTCAGGTATAGTTGCTGCCTTATTTTAATTCTTCGGATATACCTTGAATTCTATGCTAAGGAAATGTCCCTTTCACATTATTATCATGTATGTACAATTGGCTGGTGGAGATCCAGAAGAAAATGGCGGCTTGTGAGCAAAGGAATATGGTCCCACACAAGACACTAGCTACGTGTAGGAAGCTTTTGGGGAGCTATATTTGCCTTTCCCATCTGCCCTTAGGGGAGGGGGAAGCTTTTATTGATGTCTTTCACTTTTCTATCACACTGATTTCCAAATATGTCCCCATTCTTTGCATTAGCAAACCTTCCACTGTAACATAATTTTTTAAAAAAATTTAAAACAATAGTTCAGTAACACCAGCTAAAGCATCAGTGGTGCCTGACAGTATATGCAAAATTCCGTACTCACAGGCCTGACTCCTCCAATCACTCAACAAACAAGTATTAAGTTCCTGCTATGTGCTAGGGATACTAAAAGAGGCAAAAGACAGTCCCTGCCCTCAAGGAGCTTCCAATCTAATGGGAGGGACAACATGCAAATGAATATATACAAAGCAGCTCTATACAGGATAAATCAGAAATAATTAACAGAAGGAGGGCACTAGAATTAAATGGGGTTGGGGAAGGAGGGAAAAGAATCCTCTTTCTTCCAAGGGCCAAGCTTGGTCATTATAATCACACAGCATTCAGTTTTGTTAAATTGACTTTTTTCCCCCCTTTCACATTGTCATAGCTTTGTGGGTAGCATTTTTCTATTTTTGCTTACTTCGCTCTGCATCAGTTCACATAACTCTTCCAGGTGCCTCAGAATTTTTAATATTCATCATATCTCACAGTATGGTAATATTCCAATCAATCAACATGAATTTATTAAGTGCTTGCTACATCCCAGGCCCTTTGCTAAGCCCTGGAGATACAAGGAAAAAGCAAAACCAAGTAACTTACATTCTAATGGGGGAGAAAACATGTATATAAATAGGCAGATGCAAGAAACATGCAAAGGAGATGCCAGATAACAGAGAAAGCCCTGGCCTAGCCGCTGGGGGAAGGGCCGGGAAAGACCTCCCATAGAAGGAGGGAATCAGAGGGGAGTCAGGAAGGGCTGTGTTACCTGGACAAACCACAGTTAGTTTTACTGCTCCCCAAATGGTGGGCACTCACCTTATGTCTAGCTCCTCGCTACCACAGGAGACTGGCTATTCTTATTTGGATATATGCGGAGAATTTCTTCTGCCTCTGACCTTGTCCAGGCACAGACACATTACCCACTTTTTATTTTCAGCCCAAAGACACTTTCCACGTACTACTTTGAATGATGGGTATTGGCGTCCTTGTCTTTCTCTTCCTACAGACTGTTAATTCCTTGAAGGAAGAATCCGTCTCATTCTTTTCTTTACTGCTATAGCACCAAGCCCAAGGCCTCCCGGACCAGCACCTGGAGTCAGAAAGACCCAGATTCCAATCCTGTCTCTTACTAGCTGTATGACTATGGGCGGGTCACCTAATTAACCTCTCTGAGGCTAGTTCCTCATCTATAAAATGGAAGCAGCTAGGTGGCTCAGTGGACAGAGAGCCGGGCCTGGAGTCAGGAAGACTTGAGTTCAAATCAGACTCCAGACACTTATTAGCTGTGTGACCCTGGGCAAGTCACTTCACCCTCAGGTCCTTCTGACTCCAGGGCTGGCCCTCTATCCACCACACCATTTAGCTGCCCATAAGGAGCAGGGAGTCCCCCTGTTGCACTGGCACAGATTTACCCAGGCAGCAGCCATCCCAAGATCACACAAAGGCGGAGCCAGAACACCTGTCCAAGGACCTTGGACTTTATTGGGAACAGGAGCCTCAGTTTCCTTATCTGTAAAATGAGCTGGAGGAAGAAATGATAGACCACTCCAGCATCTCTGCTAAGAAAACCCCAAATGGGGTCATGAGGAGTCAGACACGACCGGGTAACAACAAAAGAGTAAGAACAGTGGGAGCTTGGTGGGTAGTTGTTATGTGGACAAATGAGCATCCAGGAAATTACTCAGCAGTTAGGCTGAGCACCAAGAGCATTCCTTCCCAGGAAGGATGACGCCCTCTGGGGAAAGTCAGGAGATGTGGTCACTGAAAACACCAAGGACAGCATCAGCTCTGGAGACACGGCAGATGGCATCGCTGAGGAAAGGTGACTTAGCTAGAAATGGCCCAGATGTCAGCCTGCATGAAGAGGACATAATTTAATGGGCCTCCGTGTCCCCAGTTACTGACTCACTCGAGAGGTGGCTCCAGGCGAGAGTCACATGCCTATTATCGATGCCTGCAGTTGATGGCGAGAGACCGGCTCATTCTTCAGCCATCAGCCCAGGGAATGGATGAGGCAAGGGTATTGGTGGAGAGATGTAGGAGATGGGGCCGGGAGGGGGAGAGACCGGCCAAGGAGGACGCAGGTCTAAGGAGCAGATATTATTGTTTGGTCATGTCCAATTCTTCCTGACCCCATTTGTGGGTTTCTTGTCAAGATGCTGCAGTGGTTTGCCATTCCTTCTCCAGCTCATTTTACAGATGAGGAAACTGAGGCAAACAAGGTGAAGTGACTTCCCCAGGGTCACACAGATAATAAATGTCTGAGTCCAGATTTGAACTCAGGTCCTCTGACTCCAGGGCTGCACCACTTAGCTCCATAAGGAGCAGGGAGTACCCCTGTTGCACTGGCCCAGATTTACCCAGGAAACACCCATCCCAGGATCATACAAAGACACAGCCAGAATGCCTGACCAAAGACCTTGGACTTTATCCTATAGACCAGGGGTTCTTAAGCTGAAGCCTTCAAATTTATTTTTAAAAATATTTTGTTAACTGTATTTCAGTACAATTTGTTTCCTTTGTAATCCTATGTATTTATTTATATGTTTAAAGTGCTTATGGATTTAAAGCATTATTTAAATTTTAATGTCACATTAATTTACCAATTTAATATTTTGGTAATGATATTTCAATATAATTCATTTCCTTTGTAACCCTGTTTTATGCATTTGAAACAATAATTTTAAATTTGATGTTTAACATTTAT